GCCACAAATTTTAGAATCTCTCGCAAACATTCTCGACCCTCAACAAGTGATGATTGATTTTTGACATGTTCCAGGCTGGCTGTCCAAAATTCTGGCTTCCCGTAAAGTGTGTCCAATAAATCCAAGCCCCAAAAACCAAATTAATTCATTTAACATTTTTCAACCATGAAGCTGGAACGGTCACCAAGTTAAGTTGTTATAAACTTCAATTCCAAAAAGTTGGACGTTCTGTAAAACTTAAAGTCAGATTGCAATAGTTTGTAAACCTCGTAAACCTATATTTTATTTACAATGGAATATAATAAGCACATCAGATGTTTAAACTATGGTTTACTTCGTTATTAAGTGAATAAAATATGGGTTTATGAGATTTGCAAATCCTTACGTTCAGTTTATATTTGCATTTCACACAAAATCCCAGAACTGGGGTTGTATACACTATAATTCACACCTGACAACAGGATGTATGTAATATATTTACACAGAACAAAGTTAGAAATCGAAGCAAGTGCAAACAGCAGCAGTGTTGTCAATCTGTAGGGCTTCCAGCGCAGCCTGGGAGACTTACTGGAACAGCCATGTAATGTGAAATTAAAAACAATGTAGAATTAGATTTTACAAAAACAAATATCTGTGTCGAGTCCGACACCAGCATTTTGACAAGTACTAAAATGTCTCGATACTCAGAAGCGACAAGGCTGCCCTTTGTCACTGATTCTGTTCATAACTTTTATGGACAGAATTTCTAGGTGCAGCCAAGGTGTTGAGGAAATCTGTTTTGGTGACCTTAGGATCACATCTCTGCTTTCTGTGGATGATGTGGTCCTATTGGCTTCATCAGATCATGATCTCCAGCTCTCACTGGAGCGGTTCACAGTCGAGTGTGAAGCGGTCGGGATGAGGATCAGTGCCTCCAAATTGGAGACCATGGTCTTGAGCCGGAAAATGGTAGGCTGGCTTCTCTGGTTCGAGGAGGAGGTCCTGCCCCAAGTGGAGGAGTTTAAGTATCTCGGGGTCTTGTTCACGAATGAGTGAAGAATGCAGCGGGAGATCAACAGGTGGATTGGTGCTGCTTCTGCAGTGATGCGAACGTTGTACCGGTCTGTCGTGGTTGAAGCCGGAGCTGAGCCAGAAGGCTTCAACCAAGGGTTTTTTACTACCCTCATCTATGGTCACGAGCTTTGGGTAGTGACCAAAAGAAGGAGATCACGGATACAAGCGGCCAAAATGAGTTTCCTTCACAGGGTGTCTGGGCTCTCCTTTAGAGAGAAACTCAGTCATCCTGGAGGGACTCAGAGTAGACCTGCTGCTCCTCCACGTCGAGAGGAGCCAGTTGAGGTGGCTTGGGCATCTGGTAAGGATGCCTTCTGGACGCCTCTCTGGTGAGGTGTTCCGGGCACGTCCCACTGGGAAGAGACCCAGAGGAAGACCCAGGACACACTGGAGGGACTATGTTTCTTGGCTGGCCTGGGAACGCCTTGGGATTCCGCCAGAGGAGCTGGCCCAAGCGGCTGGGGAGAGGGAAGTCTGAGTCTCTCTGCTTAGGCTGCTGCCCCCGTGACCCAACCCTGGATAAGCAGCAGAAAACGGATGGATGGACGGAGCTAACTGTGCCTCTGCTGACAGATTATGTGAAACCCCTCTGCAGCCTGAGTCAGGGTCAAACACAGAGTTAGTGGTCTGTCAGAACAGCTCGCCCACACTGGACAACAATCCTTCCAGACTTTTTTCCTCCTGAATTGACATAAATATTGTTGTTTTTTTAACATTTCATGTTGAGGTAAATAAACATCAGTAGACCTGCATGTGACTTCCATGTCATGCTTACTTTCTGTAAAAGAATTTACTTTTATGACTTGATAGGCAAAATACTGAGATATGGGAAAATATTTGTCTTAATGTCTTGGTCTGACTATTAATGTGAGATAATGTAATTTTTAAGATCATAATGTCACAAAATTCTGTCTACTCTGGATTTTTTGGCCATTATTTATCAAATTATAATAAAATATAAATACCGTATTGTGGGGTGGGTAACTTGCACATCTGTGAAGGTATTTAAGGCTGAATGGTATAAACAGCTTATTTCAGGAAGACAATTGGAAAAGGGAATGGAATTTGGATCGAACGGCATGACGCATTGCATGCTGGGTAACGGCCGCCATGTTGTAATGCTAATTTGCTAACCAAAATACGACGCATTGCATGGTGGGTAGCGGCCACCCTGTTGAAGGACAACCATTTTCAAAACACAAAACACAATGGACCGAGACAAACTGAAGAGCAGTATTCTTTACCGCGACAAACTGAACAAAGATGCTATTATGATGCTACTAAGATGCCATTATGGTGCGTTCACACCGAACGCGATTTCAGCATCGGGAGCCTCAGGTTTACATACATAGTCTATGGTGGACGCGCTTCAATCAGCGTCGGGAAGGGCTGCGGTGCCTCAAGCGTGATTAGAGCAGCGTGATTTGAACGATCTGAGCGTTTGACGTGCTTGATGCGCAAATCGCTGAAGTTAGAAAATCTGAACTTTTGCAGCTCGACGCGCAGCGTCAACCAATCAGAGAGACTCCACTGTGTGACGTAGCAACATATTTCCCGACGGGACAGTTTACTGAATGATGTCCACTAACCTGAAACACATGGAGAGGAGCTCTTTAGCTGAAATCGAGTGCCTGCAGTCGGTGTCCTGACAGGAGATATCCTCATCAATGCGTGGCAGTGGCTCATCAGGCTGGACTCGGGACAAAAATAGTCCTGAAAGCGAGCTGTGAGCCTCTCCCTCAGCTCCTGGGTGATGAAACTCAGAATGTCTCTGATTTATCTGGTGAATTAATTATGAATTAATTATCTGATGAACGTGACATGCTCTTGCTCTCTGTAAATAAAGCAAAGCCACTTCCTCATCCGACATTAAACAGAGCCCGACAGAGGAGGGAGGGGCGGGGAGGCTCTTGCCGTGCAGCGCTTCAAGAGCTGTCCTGCGACTGACCTCAAAGTGCACAAGTGACCAACTTGAGCGTTGGCTGCGATTTTGAAGCTGAAATCGCGTTCGGTGTGAACGCTGCATTAGAGTCACACATCTTCCTCCACCTGCTGAGTGATAAAAAATGTTGTAACTTCATGCTCTCCCGCTGCTGTCCCCGGTGACAGCCGTCATGTGTGCCTCCAGTCCAAACTCTGCGATGCGGACCTTGCGGTTCAGAGTGTGTGATTGGTTAGAACTTTGTGGGTGTGTTTGTTCATGAGGAGAAAGGCAGCGCTGTGGAGCAGGACTCAGAGCAGGTCTTCCTTCTGTAGGTTATTTTGTTTTAAAAAATTTTGTTTGAAGCCTGTTAAAAGAGCTAGAAAAGCAGTTGGTTTGATCCTGTTGAATGTGAGCATGGAGCTGAAGCTAACCATTAACAAAAAAAAAAGCTTTTCCTTCGCAGACTCTTCACTTAACCCCACTGATCATTGAGTGAAACAAAAAACACAATATCCAGTCATCATTATTGTTTTATACTTTTATGAGCTGTGGGAGGGCAGAGGAAGTATCTAAGATAATTTATGGCCCGCTGCATCTTCAGCATGTTTATACTCAGTCAGGAAAAAGACGTCCAAAATGACACAATCACCGACCCGCTGTCTCACATCACGTTGAAGTGTACTTCACACTCCCTCCGACTGCCGAAATCGACTCGGATTGTCGCGGTTCCCGTCACGGTTTCATGATGAAAATTTCATTCTCATTCTCTGTCATTCTTTGTCACAACCCGACCGGCAGAACTTTTTACCCCCCTCCACATAAGAACTTATTGTGTGATTCGTCAGAAGTTCGTAGGCGTGTTTGTTTGTGTTGGGAGTGCTCGGATGTTGCATTCTGCTTCAACTACTCGGTTAAAAAATACAACTCATTTCCAGAAGTCGGCAGACATTTATAAAGATAGTCAAATCGTCAAAAACTTAGGGATGGAGATATAACAGACATTGTGCACAGAGGAATCTGACTGATAAAAACTGTGGAGCTTTAACCGAGACAGATTTGTGTACAAATAAAGTCAGGTGACGACCCAAGCTTACGCCACATTCTGTTTGTGTTACAGCAGCGTGGCTTGGTTGTAGAAAAGCGTGCAGGGACTGGCCTGTCTGCAGTCCAGACCAGTCTCCTTTTGAAAATGTGTGGAGCATTATGAAGCACAAAATGACAAGAGACGTTATTCATCAAGCATGAATGGTAAAGACTTCTGAAGCTTCTACAATTATGTCCTCAGTTCCCAGTCACTTATTGAGTGTTGTTAAAAGGAAAGGTGATGTAACACAGCGGTAAACATACACTGTCTCTGCTTTTTTTGGAACTTGCTGCAGGCATCAAATTCAAAACGAGTGAATTTTTGCAAAAAAGCAATAAAGATGATCAATTTGAACATAAAATATCTTGACTTTGTAGTGTATTCAATAGAATATAGGCTGAAAAAGATTTGCAAATCATCATATTCTGTTTTTAGTTAGTTTTTACACAATGTCCCAACTTCAGTGGAAATGGGGCTGTATTACATTAGAGATTTATCTGGATAGGTTTTTTTTCTTCTTCCTTTTTTAAAGAACCAAAACTAGAATAAGCCATAGTGACACAGGAGTAATGAGACTATTGTTTAAAATGTAAGGAGTAAAGGTAAAAACCTGGCATAAAATTTACTCCATTAAGGAAAGATAATCAAAATTTCTATGTAAGTAAAGTAACAAAGGGACTACAGATGAAAACTAGCCTTTATGGCTAATTCTGGCATTTTCTCTAACATGCACTGTTCTTTCTTAAATAAATAAACAACAAAAAAAGTATTTATACTTCATTACGAAGGCAATAAAAGTGGGACAGGTTGCTTTTGTTTTGCATCACGTCATGGAAGCTAAATGTGAAACAATGAACTGCTTTCATAATTACAAGTATTTATCTTTGTCAAGGAGTTTTAGCCTTACAAGTTCACCATCTGCATCCCTCTTCACCTCACTTTGCAGTGTGAAACATCTCACGGCGCGCTGCTGATTCCTGACATCTTCTCAGGCCTCAGCTCATGTGACAGCAGTCAGAGCTGCAGAGGGAACAAAGAAATACTGTCAGGGAAACACAATAAATGTTGAGAGGATGATGAACAACTGTCAACAAATAATGACAGTCGCTGTTAAAAACCCGAAGCAACTCGCTTGCCACAATCCCACCCCGAGGGGGGGCAGGGGGTGGGGG